CAGAGAGGGAAAGGATCCCAGCCTGCCACAGGCCTGCCACCTTGAAGGTGAGGCAAGCCTCTTCTCCTGCCTAGGAAGTCTCGTGGCAACCTGGGCATCCTCCCCAGCAGGGCTTCCTCAAGAAGTTTTAGACAGCCCACCGAGTCCTCAGGTCGACCTTGGTTGCGGACACTGGCAAGACTTTCCCCTCCCTTTCAGCATGTGCCAGCATGGCTCCCCGGGAGGAGAAAGCGGAACGGCGAAGCCGGAGAACCAAGCTTCCTCCTCAGCGGCGGGCCAGGGGACTTCTCGATTGTGGTACATGACTGAGCAAGAGCCCTGAGACCCTGAACAGGTCCTGAGACTGTATTCCTCCAGGACAGGCCCTCGTGGAGACGGCAGCTCTTCTAGCTCCCAGGCCAGATTTATTTATCTTATTTAGCGGTTTTATTGCCTTTATAAGCCACCCAACTCCATGATAACTCTGGGCAGCACACCAAATACAAAATTCAAAATGAAACATTCCCAAAATAGAAAAAGGACGTCTGAGAAGCCCACCCCGTCTCACCAATCAGACACCCCAGAGAGCCCTTCTCCTCCAGGGGCAGCCGTGGCCAAGACCCTCCGCAGGTCTTAAAAGGAACAGCACAGGGGGAGGAACGGCGCCGCGTGCTGGTCTCTCTGGCTCTAAAGAACGTCCTGCCATTCTAAGAAATCCTCAGACTGGTCTCCCCACAATCACTTCTAGCTTCTGGACTAAGCAGGGCGTCTAGAATCAACCAGCTACTGACTTTGGGAATGAGGTGGGGGGAGGGGTCCTGGCTGGCTATGCTGGACCTTCCAGTGGACTTCAAGGCCACAAACAGGAGAGCAAATCTGACCGCTGAGAAACAAGTGGCAAGCGGGGGGCCAGGCGGACCATTCCGTGGGGGTGGGACGAAGAGAAAGAAGTGCAAAAGGGTCTGGACGGTGCTTCTACCTGGGGCTTTCTCTTGAAACACACCCATTGCTAGAAGTCTTTGCTTATGGCTTCCTAAATCCAGACTGCTCATCCAAAGGTCCTCCCCCATCCAACAGGGCACTTCTAGACTGCCAGTCTAGGAAAGCCTGGGGGCACTGCTGGTCCAGCAGCTTCAGAGGAGCTCCTGTGCCACAGCTGTGTTCCCCATCCCCAGGCTGAATCCCCGCTTCCCTTCCCCATTGCGGACTGCTTGGGCCCTCGTCATCTTATTTCAAGGCAGCTCTTGTAGTCCAGAATGAGCTGGTTTTGGCGGCCAAGGGCACCGAGCCAATGGGAACGTCTCCAGGGAAGGCAGCGGCAATCCGTAAGAACTTAGGCCAGAACGGGGCGCTCTCCCTGTTCTTATGAAGAATGCTCACTCGAGAGACTGAGGTCTTGGCCCTCCTCCCCAGACAAGACCCTGGCCCAACAGCTGCTAGTCTAGAGGACTGTTCTGCCCGAGGGCTGAAAGCCTGGGTCGAGCACTCTAATTTAAAAAGCAAAACAAAAAGTTTAAATCAGATATTAAAATTTATGCTAAAAGGAAGCCTAAACTCGAATGATTAAACATGCGAAGAAAGGGCTGCACCTCTGTGGATATTCTAAATGCCGAGAGGGCCAGGGCCAAATGCCGCTCCCGAGGGCCGGCACTCTTCCCAACAGCAGCTAACCCGGGTTGAAGGATCTGCAAGGGAGAGGCTCCTCTAGGCTAAGTGACCAATCAAAGAGGAGGAAATCTTTCCCATGCCAACATCCGGGCTCTGCAACTCTGTTTCCTGCTCCCTTTCAGGGGGAAAAACTCATTTTCTGCGGTCTTTTATCCCATCAGCTATTTTAGTCAGATGCTGTAATTGCTCCTGTTTGTAGGAATGGTTAGTGGCCTTTCTACTTTAGTGCTGCTTACTTTTTTTTAAAAAAATGCGTTATTAGTAGCATTGTCAATCTTCTATCCAGAAGTCCATGAGATGGGGGCAGGAAGTGAATATGCTGGATTGAAAATCCTGGCTGTGTCTGTTCAGCAGTGCCCCAAATGCCACCCACAAACTGGCGGAACAGATGCAGGTGGCTGAGGCAAGGTGCCACCTGGGGAACCTGCCATCTCTTTCAGACAGAGGAGGTGCAGGCCGGGGGTGGGCAGGGGGATTGCAGGCAGGGCCTGAAAAGAGAGTCTCTTCCCCAGACAAAGATCAACGCTAAACTAGTGTGACGTGGACAACATGCAGCAAGATCTGCTGGATTCATTAGTTGTGTAATTTGCACCCTCTCTGCTTTTTACTTTGGGAGCAGTTCAGGAAGCAAAAAACGAATCCTCTCACTGAGAGGGTGCAAGTTATGCAACTAACGAATCCAACAAAGCACTGAAGATTTCATTATCTTTATTCTGCAGCCCAAACCAGCTGAAGCACTGCCAATACGATGGCCGGAGCACGTCAGGCCTTGGAGAATTCTTGCAGCCAGCCCCGGGACTTCATGGGAACCCAGGCCAAGCAAGAGGAGCCCAGGAAAGATGCAGGATCGCAGCCCAGACCCTGAAGTAGAAGTGAAAGAAAGAGGGCAGAAGAAGGGAGATGCAAGAAAAAGAAAGGATCTTAGGCAATTCCCAGAGAGCAGGGTAAAGTCCAGTTACTCAAAGTTACCGTCAAGTGGGCAAGCCAGAAGGGCCCCATCTAGAGATGCCCCTCAGGAGTGGAAAGACTGACTCACGCAACCATCTTGTCCTATTACCGTCACTTCTGGGAGCTCCCAACAACGGGATTGCTAATATAAGTCCGGCTGATCTCTGTGCATGAAAGGTACGTACGTTACTGTCTAATCACCACTGCTTAAAATCTATCAGGACAGATCTGGCATCATGCAGCAGGTTGACCTCTAGGCTCACTCCAACCCTACAACATCAAGAACTGTGGATATTGTAGGTACAGGGCTGTCTAAAAGAATTAGACAACCCTGGAAAGAGACATTCACGCTTAATTTACAGCAGCAGATGTTGACGCGCGTTATTTGTCAACATTTGAACAAACTCCATTTGGTGGGAAACGGTCAGGTTTTGTGGATTTGTTCTAATTGCAAAATAATTTTCTGGACCTTTTTCCACTTTTTTTATTCAACATTATGATTATTAACATCGAAGTTAGATTGTTAATACCGTTGTACGTGTCTGCACTTTTCTTCTGTCTCGCTAGCGTAGAAAAATGAAGCTAATTTATAAAAAACCACAAGGGCCAACACAGGACCAACCGACCCGGCTTCCTTGGGGAAGGCCTCACGAGTCCACTCCCTGAAAAAGGCCTCTTCCCCCAACTCCTTCTCTGCCACAGAGAAACAGTGGACGTGGCGGCCCACTGGAAAGTTCACGAGCGCTCCCAGCTGCTGAAGGCGGGACAGCGCATGTGACACTCACAGTGGCCGGCCCCGTCTACACGCCACCCGGAAGCCACGAAGCCACAGGAGGAAAGGAAAAGGGCAAAGGTGGGACTGCCACTGTAGCAAGCCTGGTGCTCTCTCACCCAGGCAGTATCCAGAGAGGGTTCTCTCCCTCAGAGAGACAAGAACTCGATTACATCCAGTTAACGGCACTCTAAACTGATTAGGCAAGTGCCAGGCGAATGAATCACGTTAGCAGGAGGAAAGGAACATCTTGCTGCCTTTGCCTCACCATCTCCTCCCCAAGGGCCTGTGGGGAGACGTTGGCTCTTGCAGAGTCCCGCATGCAGCCCTGGGGCTGGGTGGAATGAGCCTGACCCTAGGTCCGCTGGCTGCTGGGCCAGTTTCCACGCCAGACCACTCTGCTGCTCCACAGGCCACAGGCAGACGCGCCCGGCAGGACCGCCACGCTGAAACGGAGAGGGGAATCTCCTCCAGACCCGCCTCCTTGCTCCTCCCATGCGCAGGAACAAGCAGGCGGATGAAACCTTGCGCCAGGCCAGCAGAAGGAAGGGGCTGCTGGCGACTCGCTCACCCTGGCTCCAGCCAGGCCAGCTGCTCCTGGGAGCTCCATCGCCCTTGAAGACGACGCCCACTTTGGCTTTCAGAAGCTGGCCAGCCGGCCGGCCTGCCAGCCTGTGCCGGCCTCCTGAAGGAGTGTCTCGGGGGGGGGGGGGGGGGCCTGAGCTCCACAGCCAGAGGCAGCCGAGGGAGGGGGAACACCAGCCCCTAGGTGGGGAGCCCGTCTTGAGAGCGGGAGAGCGGAGAGCAGGAAGGGCTGGAGAACCAAGAGTGCAGAGGGCAAAAGCGTGGAAGACGACGTGTCCGGGGAGCAAAGCTGTCGCTTAGATTTATGGCAGGTGGTACCCGATTGTTCATACTAAAGCCATTATGGGATGATTAGAGAAAAAGGTGAAGCTCTAAGTCCAGGGAAAATCAATATAAACGTCTGGAGCAATTCTGCCACACAAGTGAAAGGACTCTTTACTGTATGTAGGCAGGGGGGGGAGATGGAAGAGGAAGCTGCGGCCAGACCCAGCAGACGGGAAAGCAGAATTACCCCTCCGATGGCTGGCTGCAAGCAAGCGTGGCCCTGACCGGCCGTGGTGGCGGAGGCAGCCATGCCGTTGACGTCCCCGTGCCCTACCCCGAGCGCCTTGGAGCTCTGCCTCAAGAAAGGTGGCCTGGGAGATGGGGGTTCCCGCAGCCACGCTCAGGAGCGCCTGCTCTGCCTCAGGGCCCGCGTGGCACAGCCGTGTGGCTGGAGATGACCTGTGTCTCTGCAGCTGAACTCATCCGGGGGGGCAGGCTGGCAAGGCTGCCCAGGCCAGGCACCATGTGACAGAGAGTGCGGCTCCCCTCCAGGTCGCTGGATTGCGCTTGCAAGTGGCAGCCCGTATCTGGGCTGCATTGCCCCTCTCCCCGCCAGCACTCATCGGTGCTGCCTTTGGTCAAGCCCCGACAATCTGCAGGGGTCCTGGGGCGATGACTCCGAGCGGCCCTCCGTGCAGCTGCCCAGCGCACAGAGCCAGGGCGGGGCCAGTGCTGGGAAACAGAGCCCCTGCCCTTTGGCCCCAGGCCCTTCTTTCCTCCTCACCTTGTACAGCTTCAGGCTCGCCTCGTGCCTGGAGTTCCCGGTGTGAAGGCGCAGCTTCTCCAGGCTGTTGGTGTAATAGTCACAGGCGTTGCACTTTAAATGCACGGGGTTCCCGATCGCCACGCACTTGAGGCGCCACTCGTTGGCCTTCCCTCCCTCCTTGATGTGGGCCACCAGCTGGTACTTCTGCACATGCTTGTCGGTCTTGCAGTGGAGCTGGAAGTTTGCCTTGAGCTGCGTGTTGTAGTGGCACAGCTGGCATTGGTAAGCATCCCCCATCACCACCTTCCACTCCTCCTCGGGCAGGCCACGCTCCGCGTTCATGTGCAGCCCCAGAAGGTCCAGGGTGTCGGTGGTGAACTTGTTGCACACAGCACACTGGAAGAGCTTCAGCGAGGGGTCGCTGGTCTGGGCGAAGGTCTCCCCCAGGTTCATTAGCTCCTCGGACACCAGCTGCCCACCCCCGAGCCGTGGGTCCAGGGGGATCTCTCCACCCACTGCACGGAGAGAGAAGAAGGCAGTCAGAAAAGCTCTGGGCGACCTCCACCCGCTCCCGCTCCCGGGCCTGCGGGGGTCCCGGGGACCCTCCTCAGGCCATTAAGATGGAAGAATGGCATTCAAAGGGGGAGGGAGCGGAGCGCACCCTGGGACTCCTGGAGCACGGAGGAGTGGCCCTTATGACGAGGAGTGGAGCGCGGCATCGAGAAGGCGGCCCCCCGCCCCCAAGAGAAGACTGTGGTGATCAGCCTTCCCCTTCCACTAGGCAAGGCCTGGCCTTCCTCTCTGCACTGCTGCCAGCCCAACCCTGGGCTCGAATCCAGGAGCCTTGCCCAACCGGAGCAGGGCCTCGGTGCCGCTGCGCGGGCTCCCATCTGGACGAGACTCTCTCACACACGGGCCCTCGAACCAGACGCCTGCACCCACACGCCAAGAAACAGACCCACCCCATGCTCGGAAGCAGCTCGCTCAGGGATTCAGACCAACGAGGAAATTAAGCTAGAGTTTCCAAGGTTTATTTACTGAGGCAGAAGGGAGCATAAATAAATGAGAAATCAGGACAGCGGATGTTATTTCAAAAACACCAAGGAACTGTGTGGCACTTTAAGACTAATTAAGGTGATGGCAATACGCAGTCATCTCTTCTGGAACCCCTTACGTTTCATTTTTCCCATCTTCTGCTTTTATTATCATCCCCCCACACGCCGTGGGGCCATTCAGGCTTCTCCCTCTGGAGAATGGCCGTGGCCCGCAAAAACGTACGTCACGCAGTACAGGAGACCTTGTTGCTTTGTTCGGTCTGAGCACACCAACATCTACATATCTTTTCCATTTGTTTACTACGGGGTTTCTGTTCTGGTTTTATTCTATTCCTATTTTCCCACCTAATAAAGATCAAGGTAGATTAAGCACATTATGAAGCAATTTGCAGATTTGTTCCTCAGACATATTCTCATTGCTTTTTGGACTGGTATCAAGGCATCCATCCCCTTGATGTTGCATAAACTAGAACCATAATTCCCAAATTATGGGAAATAAAGCGCTGCTACCCTGTGGTGGTCAGAACCCACCCTGAGTCCTGGGCCCAGTTCTAGGCCCCACGCATTAGGGTGGCATCAGAGAAATTCAAACAGTTTCAGAGAAGGGCAGTGAAGACGCTCAGGGGGCTATGGACTCTCTGGAAGAAAGAGGGAGGAACCGGACGTGTTCGGCCACAGGAAAGGTGACAGTGGGGACACGGCAGCGTTTGTCAAAATCTGAAGAGACATCACGCTCCTTCCATCCCACAGCAAAGGCAGGGAACGGCAGTCTTAAGTCACAGGGAGGCAAGTTTCAGTTGAACATTAGGAAAAAAACTTGGGCTAAGAGCAGTTTGACGGTGGAGCCATCCCCAAGGACCGGGGCCGAGCAGCGCCTGGGCCCTGCCTGCCGGGTTCCCAAACGGAGCAGGGCTGCGCTCCACAGCCTCTTCCAACTGTAGGGTTCCACGGGAGATGTACAAAACACATTTCGCGATTGTCAAGTGGGAAAACAACGCCTGAAGTCCTCCGAAACTCACTCCCTGGAACTGCAGTTTGCACTTTTCTCCCAAACCTTTCCCGTTTCTCAGCCTCACCAGGGGAAAGCTGCAGCAGTCTTCGAGCCAGAGACATTTCCATGGCAAAAGAAGCGGAACTACGCTTTGATGTGAACTGACCAACCGCCGCTGCGGGCCCTGCCTCCGGAGGCTGCTGCTCTGGAGAAAGCGCAGAGAGAAGGGGAAGCTGTAAGCCGCAGAGGGGAAGGCCCCAAGCAAGGCTGGTGCCGGCTAAGGGGCAGCGATCCCCTCCTTGCTGGTGTGTTACGCTTCTTTGCCCCTGGGCAGACAGGAGGCAAGTTTCTGACATACCCCTTTCACCCCGGAGGCTGATGCCCGAGTGGCTGGGCGCGGAGGGTGCCCTTCGTCTGCTCTCCAGCCTCTGCAGCTCCTTCCCAGAGCGAC